GGCTTCGCTGGTTCCAGGGCGTGCGCGCCGCGGCTGTGTGGTGCTCTAGCGGCCCCTGGCGGCCGTGTTGCGCCTCGCCTTCGGCGTCGGGCACCCGCGGTGTGCGGGTTCGTGCGGACCTGCTGGGGCCTTTCTGTGTGCTTTGCAGCTAGGAGTTAGAACAAGTAAAAACTTTACAAAAAGTTGAAAACTACGAGCTGGCATTTGCCAAGAGTTGCCTCCAGTCTAAGGAGGGAGCGCCTGGGGACTAAAAAAAAAGGTTGAGCACCACTTACTTAAGGGAAACCCCACTCAAAATAAGCAGCACTGACCTTTGACAAATAAAGAAGGACAGCTGCCAAGAGAGGGACGGGTTTGCACCTCTTTTGCTTGGTTTCCTTCTTGGGAATAAAGAATGTGGAAAAAGTTAATTTGACTTTCTTGGTTTTTACCATAGGAACTCAAGTCTTGTGCCTCCTGGAGGACTCTCTTTGCTGGCACCGGAGTGAAATCCACACCAAGGGGCAAAGATGGGAGTGGCTGGGGAAGGGGCTTTGTGTTTAATGTCCTGCTTGTTGTTTGTTTTGTTAAGATCTGTTTCACTCCAAAACCTGACTAGCATCTAGTTAGGATTCAATATACACCTCTGACATTCCTGAGAAGCTATCCAGGAAAACCAGGGAAGATCAGTCTTGACTTTCTGGGTGAGAAAAAGTTTCACTATCGGTGCCCTGTTTTAAAAAAAAAATAGTGTATCTCACAGAATTCAGGCCTTTTTATATTATCGCAAAGTACTTGTATGTCCTGTTTTGCTTGAGGGGAAATCTTATTCATGCTGTTCTGTGAAATTTTCCTCTTTCAGGCCTTGCACCTATTACAATAGGTGGGAAACCTGCTCTTGATGACAGTGGCAATAAGATAGATCCCTTTGTGCCTTCACACTTTACAGGAAACTTAAAGCCATCCAAGCTTGTCCTATCAATGCTACATATATAGCATTATTCTCGTAGTCTTTTGCTGTCTGGACTAATCCTCCCAACTTTGTCAGCATCCAGTGCAGAATAGAAAATGTACAGTAAGTAACATGAACCTGCATTTGGGAATGCAGTCTTTGGCACATAATGTAAATGTGTGATTTTAAATGAGCTGCAGATTCCAAAAAGTTGACCATTTTCATTTTGTGAAAGTTTGTTTTCTATACACTCATCTGCTTCATTTTCCCCTCAGTTGCCTGTGTATGTCAAACTAATAATTACAGCTCTTAGCATGAGTTCATATTTCCTAATGCAGGGGTTTTCAAACTTTTTAAAGAAGTGTACCCCTTCTCATGGTGGCAGCTGGAGGCAGAGCTGGGGTGGGGGCTTGTATGCAGCAGCCACTAACACCACCTACCACACACTGCTTTCCCATGGCCCCTCCACCGGCTGCTGACAGGCCTCACTTCTGGCCAATCAGGCGCCGCCTGTCAGTAGCTCCCAAAGCCACATGCGCAACCAGCCATGGGAAAGCACAGGGTGGTGGATGGTGGTGAGGGCCACCGCATGCAAGCTCCTCCTGCCCCTCTTTACCCCCCCGCATCCAGTCAGCTGGCCGGCAGTGCCTGTGCGGCCCACAGAGGAACACTACTGCCCTTTCCCCGCTGACCCTGCTCCTGGGCAGCAGCGTTCTGTCCTCTCCTGCCCGTGCGTACCGTACCCCTATGACCTTTCCAAGTACCCCTAGGGGTACCCCCCGTTGATGCGTACCCCCAGTTGACAACCCCTGTCCTAATGCTTTCTACCAAGGAAATCATTAGATGTTATGCCACATTGATTTCTTGCTCTTTCCCCTGCCACAGAGAGGAAAATATGATTCAGAAGAAGTAAGTATACTATTAAAGATATATTGAAATGACACAGGAGTGTCACTACTGCTCCTAGTTACAGTCACACCTACAACATTAAATCCTTCAGTGCCTTCCAGAACAGGCCAGGTATGTATTGGAACCTTCTGCCATTTTAAGAACATGAATTATAGATCAGGAAAAAACCCTAAGGCTAAATCCACAAATGATAGTTCTCTTTCTACAAGCTAAGGTTTTCATGCATTCTGCTGCCAAATCCATTTTTAGACCAATCCTCTTTATGGGCTTGTCAATGCTTTAATGACAGCAACTATAATCCTCGCTCTTC